AGCCTGGCCTGTCTCTGCTGCAGCTCTGCTGCAGCTTTGTATTCAGCTTTGTATTCAGCTGTTCCTTCAGTTGGATAACATCTGCTCTTGTAGACGGAGCAGTAGATACCTTCTGCACCCAACGCTGGTTTCCGTCCATCCATTCCCTGCAACATTAATGGTTGAGAATAAATAGTTTGAAATAAATAGGACAGTTTACTAAATAAGAACATGGGCATACCTGGGTGGAAAAATGGCTTCCAGGATCTGCTTGGTTTCCGTATTGTCTTCACTCGTTGCAGGTTTTGACTTAGAAGGTCGAGTAGCTGGTTTGAAGTCTGATGGCTGCTGAGGGATTGTTGTCCAGAGAATACCAGATAACAGAAAAGTTATGTGAAAATGTACCAGTTGAATCTAAACATGCACCTAAGAGCACTCTAGATTTAAATTTTTTGCAGTGTAAGGTTTCCAAAAGGTGGTGGTTTAAAGTCCTGAATCCAAGCAAATGAAAACGTTGGTGGAAGGAAAGTGTGGTATGTAAAATATAAACAAGTACAGTCTGGATATCCTCTCAAACCTCTCATCAAAGACTGAATCCAGAATAAGAGCTAAAAAAATGTTCTTTTCCCCGTTGGGTGAAGACACTCCTTAAGCAATCAACTTAGAAACTATTTGTTCTTCCTTGAAAAAATTACTATTTTATTTAGCTGTAATCCATAATCGTTTAAATTAATTAAGTATACTTGAAAGCCTAATTGAATTATTATTATTTATTTCTTTTTATTTTTTTAACCACATAGGCCTACATTTTTCGGTTACATTGGAATTTATTTTAACGCACATATCTACTATGTTGTGGTGGTCCTGCCGCATAAATCTTGGTCCGATTTATGTACAAACCTACCATTTCAATGTGACTGCAGCAAACTCACCTTTGGAGATTCAGTCTCTGAATTCTTGATCAACATCGGATCGTCGTATTTCAAAAAAGAATTAGATGCAGGAATCATTTTTCACCTTCTTTTTTTAACACAAAGGAAAAATAAAATAAGTTTTGCCCGCAGACACCGAAACTTATTC